TGCGCCTGCGCTCGCGCGGAGTGGCGCGGGGCGGAGTCTGGATGAGAACAGCCTCAGCTACCTGGCCGAGATAGCTCAGTTGGGAGAGCGTTAGACTGAAGATCTAAAGGTCCCTGGTTCGATCCCGGGTTTCGGCAGATGTTTTGGCACATTCAGCATCCTTTCCCTAGATGTCATTATATTGTACAGACAAGGGGTGCAGGCTCACAACCCCACATTCAGCATCCTTTCCCTAGATGTCATATTGTACAGACAAGGGGTGCAGGCTCACAACCCCACATTCAGCATCCTTTCCCTAGATGTCATATTGTACAGACAAGGGGTGCAGGCTCACAACCCAAGGCCGCGCCTTTTGCCATCACCAAGACGTCCTCCTTCCCTCGGCCTTAGTTTGACATTTTCCCCCCACTGGAACAGACTGCAGGCACTGGCCAGAGTGGAGAGATGGAGGCGGCACGCCAGCGGGGTACGGTCACCCCGCGACACGGTCCTGTCTCCATCCTTAGAACTGGACAGCGGCGGGTTCGAATCACCATAGGTCCAGCGAGACCCCGCTCCCTGCACCCCCGGGCATGGGGCCGGCCCCCAGCTAGTGTGAAACCTGACAAGCCAGACTAGAAGCTGGAGCCTAGGCGCCCTCCCACCCACCCCGCCCAGGGCCTCACAGTTTCCTGCTGCAGTCCCAGGCTGGGCCCCACTGAGGGGCGACTTCTGGGGAAGGGGAAGGGAGGGCGAGGACTGGATGCCCCAGGGCCTCTCCTGCGCCGCACTCCCAGCTGCCCGGGGTGCGTGCCCGCGCGTGGGAAATCGCTTAGAGAAGCTTCCTATCTTCTGGTACTTCCAGATTTACAGAACTGAGCGCTCAGAGCCTGTGTCCCCGCTAACACGAGGGAGGCCCGACTGCCACAGGTGGCCTGCATCCACGTGTTCCTTGTGGGACGCAGCTCCGCCAGGTTGCCCGATGTCCCTTCCGGCCCATGACACTCAGCCACCGCGCCTCCCGGCTCTCTGGGCTGGGCTGGGCTCTGGGGTTCTGCAGACGCGCCTTCGCTCCCCTGCGGGGTACGGCCCGCAGTTCCCCATCTCCACAGAGGGCAGGTGAGCCTGGGGCCTGCGGGGCCAGGCACCCTGCCGGGAGGACACACCGGGACCCCCACGGGAGCTAACCGCTGTGACGGGCTGGCCGGGCACTGTGGGACACCCGGCGGGGTGGGCTCAGGGCCGGCTGGGAGGGAATGCCCGGGTGACAGGCGGGGTGTGGTCCCTCACACAGGAGGGAACAGTGAGCTGGAAGCAGAGGGGCAGTGGCAGCCCGAGCGTGGCGGCCGCCCAGACTCACTGTGTGGCTCCGTGGCTTGGGGTCCTGAACATGGATGCCACAGGGCCCACGTCCCAGGCGAGCCCTGGCCAGGTGCAGGAGTGGGAGTGGGGACCAGCCTTCCCTGAGCGCTCAGGGCTGTTCAGCGGCCATCCTGGGGTTGGGTGGGGTGAGGCGGGTGTGGCGGGGGCGCTGGGGCCTGGGGAGGCTGGGGGCTTCATGGTCGCGGGGCTGGGAGAGGCATGCAGACAGCAGCTTTGCGGGGCACCAGGTCACGTCGGGACATCCGTGGGCGTCACGATGAGGTGCTCCTGCACGGAGTGGATGCCCCCCGGGACGAGCTGGTCCAACACCATGTTGCTGGTGAGGACTGTCAATTATCGGGGCCATGGCCACAGAGGCTCCCTGCCGACGCGGATGCGGACCTGGGGCAGGCGGTCTGAGTGGGGAGTGAGGAATCCCCAGCCCTCCTAGCCCGGGAGGGGTCTCACTGGGGAGACTTCCCCGGGGACGCTGGACACTGCCAGGGACACCTGTGGTCACGACTGGGGTGCTCCTGGCAGGGCCAGGGATTCTGCTCAGCACCTGCAGGGACCAGAACCCCCAGGACAAGCCACTCGAGTCCAGAGCCAGGCAGACTGAGGTGCGGGACAGTGCCTGCGAGGAAGTTGGCAGGGGTACGCCACCGCTGTGGAGCACGTGAGGCCGGGGAGGGGCGGGCTGCTGGCAGGAGGGGCCTGGGTGCACCCTGGTATGGGCCGAGGCTTGGAAGCTTTGGCTACCTGGCAAGGCCTGGTTCACAGGTCCTTCTAGAGCATTCCACGTCTGCACGCCAGCCCTGACTGCCCAACCTACTGGACAGCCCCCCAGGAGCACACACGGCTGGGCCCCTGGGGCCTGCAGAAGTCACCGAAGGTCCACCCAGGGAAGGAGACCTCTGGACAGTGAGCACGGATCCCACCCATGACCGGGGCCGGCCCCCCCAGCCCAGCCCAGCGGGGAGGCCGGAACCAAGGGCCAGCCTCAAGTGCAGGCCGACGGGGTGCGGTTCGGGAAGGCCTCGTCCCAGAGCCCCTGCCGGCGACCCCCACGGTCGCAGACCCTAGGAAGCCCCCTCTGGGCTCTTCCCGCCCACAGCCAGAAGCACACGCGTGGGGACAGGGTCAGGGGCGACTCCTTTAATGCCAGCGCACACCACGGTGCCCATGCGGGCTGTCCTCACAGCCGCAGCTGCTCCTGCCACACGCACCAGGGACGGGACCGGCCCGGTGGGGAGGAAACCGACAGCTCGGGGCGCGGGGACCGGATGGAAAGTGCGGGGCCCAGGCAGCCCCGAGGGCGACGTGCTCGGGCCGACGTGCAGAGCCCGGTGCTGCCAGCCCGGGCTCCTCGGTGGCAGGCGGCACTCGGCACCCCACGAGCTGAGCAGTCACCGACGGCGCCGGCTCCTCTCTTCCAGAAGCTGGCTGTCGAACAGCTCCTTCTCCCTGTGGGGACACAGGCACGGCTGCGGGTGGGGCCGATCCCGGGACGGCACTGACGGTGTCGAACAGGTGAAACGCCACTCCATTCTCTCGCGCGAGCCTGCCGGCCAGACAGGCATCCGTGTGCCCATGTACACGGGAGGCCTCCAGGCGTGGACGGCCTCAGGGCCAGGCGCTGCCACTGCACAGCGTCGGCCGCCTGGACGACTCCGTGGAAATGCTGCAGCGGCCCTGGGCAAGGTCGCTCTGCTGTGAGCGAGGCTCCGCAGGGACAAGGGACGCTCTGGGGTGGAGGGAGCCGGGGACGCCGCCCCGAGGCCGACAGCCGGGACTAGCGGCCGAGTGCTGAGCTTTGCCCCACTTGGCCGACGGCGTGACAGTGAGCGTGTGCTGACCCGGTGGAGGGCGGCGGGCACAGCGGGCCGACCCCATCGGGGCCCAAGGCGCCCCCAGGAAGGACGAGCTACCAGCAACATTCTGGGGATGGGGACCCCGAGCAGCAGCCCCTCGAGGTAGGAGGGTGAAGACCAGGACGCCCCTCAGCATGAGTTCCCCAGGCAGCCGGGCAGGGCTCGAGGCTCCAGTCCCACGTCACCGTTGGGGGCCGTCTCTCTGCCTTCTGAGCGTGACGAGCCACACACCAGGACCCAGCGGCCCGGACCACCTCCCTGTTCCCAAGGCCCCGTCTACGCTGAGCTCAGCTGGGCCCTGCCTGCCACAGACGGGGACAAGGGCCACCTCTCTGTCACACCAGTGGCCCAGCCCCTCCCCTGCGCTTCCCTGCAGCGTGGCCCCGGCACCACACGCCAGGCCTGACGCAGCCCGGGACGTGGCGGGTGGCTGGCGCGGCTGGCCCTGGCCGGGGACCCCGTTCCACCTCTAGTTGAGTCTTCAGCCTGTCACTGGCGGCCCCGCCCGGCCCCCGGGCCCACACCGCAGCGCCACCAC